TGACCATTAGGAGACTTCTCGAGTGAAGTCTCCTATCCAACTGCATTTATATTATACAGCCTATCGTTACTATATTACTATGTTGATGTAACTCCGATAATAACATTCTCTCTAGTTTAATCTTGTGTCGGCATCGGGTCGCTCTCGCTCTTCTGTCCCTTTTGATGTTAACGAAAATGTATAATCAATCGCGAATGTGACTTCTTCTGGCTAATTAAAAATGCTACTCTTCCTTTCCTATTCAAACTCACCTAATCTCCCATTGGCTTCTACTCATTTAAAACCTTACAATGATTTGAGTTCTTTATAATATCCTCTGCTCCCACACCGGCACAGGTGACATCACTTCGTGTCGTTTCCTACAATAATTTGTGTCGCACACCGCATCATTTTCTGTGCCACATATATTAATTTCCCCTTCTATCAATTATCCCAATTCGTTCCAAAGTGACAGGAAATACACCTGCATTCAATCCATAGATCAGCATCGGGCAAAACCGACACATGGGCGTCTAAGTCCATGCCTTTCCATCATTTTCTTTTGGGTTGGAATACTTTTCCAACTTTAACTCATCCAAATCCAACATTAGAATTTGCAGGATCGTACTTGCTGTTTTGAGTGAAGACCAAGTGATGACCTGGGTCCGTGGCGCCCGTACTTAGATTTTGACGGCCTAGAGCGTCGATCTCGAGACCAGATCTCGGGTCCCCATGGCCCAGACCAAGGACCCAGGTGCCAGACCTGGTTCTCTAATAGCCCAAATGCGAGTCCCTATGTTCGAACCTAGATCCCCTGTGCTGTACTCGGTGTTTTTCCTTAAAGTTGTGTTGCCTTTCATGTTCTTCCGTATCCGAAAATTACATCTATCTTATTTGCAAAAAATCACTCAACACATAAAAGAAAAAGATATATAACAATGTTCATAACATAATATTTTTTTCAATTTCAGACGCAATTAATTCTATTGCACTTAATTCCTACTTCATGACCACTTCAATGGGAACAGCATCTAGTTTTAAAATCATGGGTCCCAAAGATCGACTTTTGCTGAAGTGTTCTTTCCGCAGCTTTTTCTTACCTGGTTCCATGGGAAGTGTCGGACGGCGGCAAAAGCGAGGGTGACGGCAGGGTTCATGTGGGCCCCAGAGACGTGGCCCACCGCATAGATCATGACGGTCACCACCAGCCCTCCCGCCACCGACGCCCCCAGCCTCGACACCCTGCGCTCGTCGCTCGCGCTCAGCGCCGCCGACCCGCACGTCACGAACACCAGCAGATACGTCGCTATTATCTCGGCCACCACCTGCAGTACATACGCGTCCTTCGCAAGTTTAATCATGCGCGAAGTGTTATCCCTAACTACACAAGCAAACGCATGTAGCTTTTGGGGCAACGAGTGGCCACAAATTCAGACGAAACGGGAAAACCACAGCAAAGAAGCAGCGGAGGAGGAGGTGGAGGAGGAAGAAGGTGGAAACTTCACCTTTCTGTGGAAACCAGGAGGGTAGTGTTTCCCATACAATCTCTTTAAGGGAAGAACACTTCGTTCAAGTGCCGACCTCAGGTTTCGAACCGCGAGCAGCTCGTTGTTGGAGACGTTGAGCTCAGGATCTTGCGTCGCCATTCTTTTGTCCGAGGAATGGCCAGACAAGTTTAAGAAGAGGCTTTTGGGCGAAAAGGAGGAGAGTTCTTGGCTATTTATGATGACTTATGAGCCCCACCTTTCTTGTACCCTCTTCCTCTTTTATCTCCGAAATCTTTTGAGATACTTCTTTGATAGAGCTGTGTGGACATGCCACTACTCGTTTAACTTATAAAGCATCTTTTACTTGTGTAAAAGTAACAAATATTGCTAAACCAATCAAAGACTCGAATCGCTCAAACATTCTTAGCCAGTATTTCCCACCCCCTAATTACACTCAATAACTCATGCAGTGTTTAACTCCATAATTCCTCACGAAATAATCTCTTTATCTCACAAAGAAATTATACACATATCTTACCACAAGATTTAAACACCTACAATGCTAAGAATATTGGTGTAATTCTATGAAGAAATCCTCTGCCAAGCACTCGTCAAAACGGCGCTTCCTTTGGAGCACTCACGGCACACCCCGGCGGCTTCGCCAGATGAAATCTAAGAATATATAAAGATATAAATCACAAATAACCCAAACCGAGTTCTGCAGGAACCGTATCTTTTATTTCTTCAAATTCTTTCTCTGACATGTTGACCGAGTCAAAGTCCAAAATCAAATTTCATTTTGGACTTTCCTGTCAGAGAACATAGACTTCAATTTATGTGCGGAAATTGTTGTGTGCTTCAACGAACTTGTATTCAAACACAAGGTTCAAGATTAATTATCCATTATTGAAAGTCACTTCAACGCAGAAACAATTTCTGTATTTTTCCGCAATCTTTATTCGGATCGGATTATATACTATGGGCTTAAACTCGAGACATATTTTAACATGATTTCCCATTTTGGTAAGAATGAGATTACTTTCCTTAAACCACCCAACAAATAAAAACTAACCATAATTTTCATGAAGTTTTAGTGAAACAAACGCATCTGCAAAGTAGTCCATGTCTCGTATAAATAGTTAGTACAGTCGACCCGACCTGGTAACTGTCTCTACAATAGACAAAACAAAGACTTTGTCAAGTCCTTTGCATATACGATGAGTTTTTAAATACTGGAGTTTGGTTTATGTTTGTTATGGTCCGAGTGCGTGTTAGGGAAAAAGTTACTAAGTTCTAGAAAAAGAACATGGAAGCACATTCATCATTTTCAGGTTTGGCAGGTACACCTTCGCCTTTGCAATTTCGAAGACCATACCATCCTTTGATATTTTAAGACGCGAAAGGCTTGTGCAGACTTCACTATCATACCAACATTCTTTTCTTCTCTTTTCGTTTTGGGACACTATTATATAGATATCTTTGGACATGCAGAACAGAACCCCAAACTCTTCCAAGTATGAACTGTTGTTCTCTACAGTCTATCAGCTTTTGCTGTATGGCTTCAATAGGCACATGTTGTGCAGGTTGTAGTGAAATACGGTCATGAAAAATGGAATTTTTATGAAAAATATCGGGGACCTGATCGTGGTGAGGACAGGAGAAGGTCCCCCATCCACCAAACGCTTCAGAGGGCGCGAAAGTTTTGCTATGGACAATATGTTGATCGGTCCAAGGATTGTGGGGTCGAGGAGGGACGAGAGAATAAAAAGGTTGGGGCTTAGAGAGACCCTTTTGGAGGGTTGCGGTTCACGAACTTGCGATGGGGAATATTGATCTTCCCATCCAATTATGCAAACCCTATCTCTCTAATAGCACTCATAGATACTGGTGTTCAAATTCTCTGATTTACATTGATGACATCCTGCTTTATAGCGAGGATGAGAGATCTCACCGCAACCTTCTCTCCCGGTTTGCTGCCATAGTCAAGCAATATAGCATCGTCCTCTCTCAGAAAAAAAAAAAATGAAGGTTGCCCAAACAGAGGTAGAATTCTTGGGCATGCAGTTAAAAGATGGGGCATTCGAGCCTAGTGATCATATTGCCAAAGAATTGCTCAAATTTCCATATAAGAAGCTTTCTCACAAACAAGTCAAACAATTTCTTGGAATTGTCAATTACCTGAGAGAATTTGTTGCTAAAATCACCAGGTATATGTATCCTTTGCGGAAGATGTTAAAGAAAGATCCACCTCTTTGAGGATCCTCACAGACCAAGGTAATCCAGTCACTCAAACAAAAGTTACAATCTTTGCCCCTGCTGCAAATTCCCTCTGACAAGAAGAGAATTCTTCAAACTGATGCAAGTGATAAAAATTTGAGTAGCCATAACACTAACAGTCAAGATCCCAAAAACAATGGCCTATGCATGGGTCTTTAAAGTAATGAATTGGCCGTCCTTCAAAATCAAATGATTCAATTAGATCCTTGGGATCTGAACAGCAATCCTCTGATAGTTGTCTGAGACACGGTCTCAAAGTGAGAATGGTGGGGAATATAGAATTTTCCACCTTCTCATGAGAGTGATCAAATGTGATGACCACAGAACCATCTTTCCTTTTAGAAAACTTGGACTTAGTGGCTTGGATAGGAGCAGCATTCTTATGGAGTTTCTCGTAGTTGATCACCCATGTGTCTGGTAAGAGCTTAACCAACTTAGATCTAGAAATTTGTCTAGGAACATGAATGCAAAACGATGCCTGGTTGTTGTCCACAGAAATAAATAGAGAGACAATTTTAAGATGATTCTAGACACGATATATCATTTGGTAATGGAGGGTGGCTGCAATAGAATCAGGAGTTTGAGGTGCACCAGTTATTTCCAGTTGGACTTTAAGGACACTCAACTGGCGACGATAAGACAGTGCCAAGTTGAAATTGGGAAAAAGGGTCACAAAGACTGTGCCAGCATTTAGGGTGATTTCTACGGTCCGTATACAAGCATGTTGACACTCAAGGAACTTGGTATCGAGGAGAGCCATGCGCGCAGCCACACGAAGACCCTTTCTGCCAGAGAATGTTAGAGCATGGCAAACTGCTCCAAAATGGAGATAAGTATAACCCTGAGAATGCCACTGTTGCACAAACTCGCGTGGTATCTGAAGATTAACAAAGTGCTCTTATATTTTCCGTAAAAAAAACGGATCTTAAATTAGCTTAAAGTATTGGGCTACCTAAATATTTGAAAAGGAGAGTTCACGATAAGGGCGTAAGCATTCCACGTGAATTGACCTGAACTCCTTTAAGGTGTTGACCAGGTCTAGACTGTTGGTTTCAATCAGTACTTCCACTTATTTCTATGGGGAAGTCAGTGTCTTGTTGGCTCTAATGCACATGCAACTCCAATTAATCGCATTTGGAGCAGGAGGGACTCGATTAGAAAAGTTAGGCGCACTGAAGAACTCGATTAGACACATAGTTTGAGAACTTAATAGGGAAAAAAATGCAAAAGTTAAGGGATCGAAAAATGGACTTTCGCTTAACTAAGCAAACTTGAACATTACATTCCATATTGACATAAAGAGAGAAAAATGCAGATGTGCCAGCACTTTAGATGTCAGAACACTAGTGCATCCGTTGGCATTGCTGTATATATATGTCACCACGAGAAATACAGCCATACTAAGGATCAAGCAGATGTATTACGCTGGCTTTCCTAAAAACCAATGCAAACCTCTCCCTTTTTTAACAGAGCATCAAGAGGGTTCATTGATCGCCTGGCCATCGCAGCTCCTCGTTCTTCGAAGTTGGAATGAAAACGACGGTGCAATCGCATGTACCGGCTTATCCGAGACCCGGATAAGATTGTAAGACCAAGCCCCTAGAAGAGTCCCTGTCACCGGCCCGACCACATACACCCATAGTCCCTCGAAGTATTGACTGGCAAGTGCTGGTCCTATGGTCCTTGCTGGGTTCATAGATCCACCCGATATCGGTCTGCATATCACAGCTTAGCAACATATTCTTTTGTTCGAATCTTTTGGAGCATGTTTTTCCAGTGAAGTTGGATCATTTTGCTTAATTTCCGTATTAGAGAGAAAGCACAAAATGGGCAGAATTCAATTAGTATTAGAGGCAAGTAGTGGGGGATTACGATGTGAGCTAAACTTCAGCTATCGTCGTGACTAATTTATATACAACGGTCAGCCAATTACCTCGCAAAATTTCAATTTTTTTGCGGACCAAATTGCTGTTATTGAGTCCCTTCGATTTTTGGTATGGCTTTTTAGCACCTATAACAATGGTCAAGTAGCTAAGGTTCCCCAATCTTCCGGTGTTCAATTCAGTCTCTAGTTATGGGACAGCATGTCATATTATAAGATTCAACCTGCCAGAACACAGTACTTACTGTAGAGATTGCCCATTCAAGACTTATTATTCTTTGTTCTGGTTTTACCTAGCAATGCCTATCTTGCATCTGTTGTTTGCTTCGCAAATGCGATTAATAGATTCGACTTTACAGTACAGACAGTGATATTGTTTCTTACCCAGCCAATATAGATGTTATGCATACGGCGGAGCCAACTGCTATACCTGCGAGCTCTCCAATCTGCAATGGAAGTGGATTGATAAGAAAAGCTCTACAGTTTCAATTTTAGCTGCAAATAAAGCATTGTCGTGATACTAACAGCTTTGGTGTCGGTGGCCACAGCCGAAGTGACGAACATCATGGAAAACGTGACCACAATCTCCATGGTCAAGGCTTGGGCGTCTGACCCCGAAGGCGAAGTGGTACCGACATGTTTGATAGGATCGAGGAGCACGCGCAACGTGAATGCAGCGGAGACTGCTCCTAGTAGTTGAGCGGCAGCATAAAATGGGACCTGCAATACACATGAAAGTGCCAAACCAGTTAGTTGAGAAGTCAGTTCATTTTTGTTACTTGAAATTAAAACTAGATTTGTAATGGGCCAAAAGTGGCCGAATGAACTGAACTGGCACAAATGCAAAACGTTTTGGACCGAATTGGTAATGAAAAAAATGTTAGAGACTGAATTAGCACAATTGCATTAAGTTTAGAACTTTTTAGATAATTTTCCTTACAATCAAGGTACGAAGGAGAAAGCCCAAAGAAGTGCTCGATGTCATCAGATGGATTGACAATGCCAATTCCTTCCTCAATTAAGAGGAATGGACCCAACCATGAGGCCACTCATAGCTTTTTTGGTTGGTCAGAGTCGGCCATTTGGGGGAGGGGGGGGCTCTGACCATTAGGAGACTTCTCGAGTGAAGTCTCCTATCCAATTGCATTTATATTATACAGCCTATCGTTACTATATTACTATGTTGATGTAACTCCGATAATAACATTCTCTCTAGTTTAATCTTGTCTCGGCATCGGGTCGCTCTCGCTCTTCTGTCCCTTTTGATGTTAACGAAAATGTATGACCAGTCGCGAATGTGACTTCTTCTGGCTAATTAACAATGCTACTCTTCCTTACGTATTCAAACTCACCTAATTTCCCATTAATTGGCTTCTACTCATTTAAAACCCTACAATGACTTGAGTTCTTTATAATATCCTTTGCTCCCACACCGGCACAGGTGACATCACTTCGTGCTGTCTCCTACAATAATTTGTGTCGCACACCGCATCATTTTCTGTGCCACATATATTAATTTCCCCTTCTATCAATTATCCCAATTCGTTCCAAAGTGACAGGAAATACACCTGCATTCAATCCATAGATCAGCATCGGGCAAAACCGACACATGGGCGTCTAAGTCCATGCCTTTCCATCATTTTCTACAGCCTTTCCATTAGGAGACTTCTCGAGTGAAGTCTCCTATCCAATTGCATTTATATTATACAGTCTATCGTTACTATATTACTATGTTGATGTAACTCCGATAATAACATTCTCTCTAGTTTAATCTTGTCTCGGCATCGGGTCGCTCTCGCTCTTCTGTCCCTTTTGATGTTAACGAAAATGTATGACCAGTCGCGAATGTGACTTCTTCTGGCTAATTAACAATGCTACTCTTCCTTACGTATTCAAACTCACCTAATCCCCCATTAATTGGCTTCTACTCATTTAAAACCCTACAATGACTTGAGTTCTTTATAATATCCTTTGCTCCCACACCGGCACAGGTGACATCACTTCGTGCCGTCTCCTACAATAATTTGTGTCGCACACCGCATCATTTTCTGTGCCACATATATTAATTTCCCCTTCTATCAATTATCCCAATTCGTTCCAAAGTGAGAGGAAATACACCTGCATTCAATCCATAGATCAGCATCGGGCAAAACCGACACATGGGCGTCTAAGTCCATGCCTTTCCATCATTTTCTTTTGGGTTGGAATACTTTTCCGACTTTAACTCGGGCTATGTTGAAGTGGAAGGCCAAGTGATGACCCGGGTCCAAATCCAACATTAGAATTTGCAGGATCGTACTTGCTGTTTTGAGTGAAGACCAAGTGATGACCTGGGTTCGTGGTGCCCGAACTTAGATTTCGATGGCCTAGAGCATCGATCCCGAGGCCAGATCTCGGGTCCCCATGGCCCAGATCAAGGACCCAGGTGCCAGACGTGGTTCTGTAATAGCCCAAATGCGAGTCCCTATGTCCGAACCTAGATCCCCTGTGCTGTACTCGGTGTTTTTCCTTAAAGTTGTGTTGCCTTTCATGTTCTTCCGTATCCGAAAATTACATCTCTCTTATTTGCAAAAAATCACTCAACACATAAAAGAAAAAGATATATAACAATGTTCATAACATAATATGTTTTTCAATTTCAGACGCAGTTAATTCTATTGCACTTAATTCCTATTTCATGACCACTTCAATGGGAACAGCATCTAGTTTTAAAATCATGGGTCCCAAAGATAAAGGTGAAGTCAATTCTCTAAATGGGAACATTTGTCGCACTCCCTCCCAAGTAGAAAGCTTGTGATGCAAATTTATACCTAGGCAAAGTGCATTTGCAAATAGTCACTGCTTAACTAAATATTCCTCTTAAAGACTTGATGCCAAAAGCTCGAAAGAGCCGCATGGCATGAATCCACGAGTTTGAAATGCGTCCAAAACACAGGAAAAGCTGTAGCGATCGTGTTCTTTGAATGAGGCAAAAGCCAAGAGTGTGACGAGGACGATGAGAAAAATGCATGGCATAGGGATTATAGGAGGATCGACTTTTGCTGAAGTGTTCTTTCCGCAGCTTTTTCTTACCTGGTTCCATGGGAAGTGTCGGACGGCGGCAAAAGCGAGGGTGACGGCAGGGTTCATGTGGGCCCCGGAGACGTGGCCCACCGCATAGATCATGACGGTCACCACCAGCCCTCCCGCCACCGACGCCCCCAGCCTCGACACCCTGCGCTCGTCGCTCGCGCTCAGCGCCGCCGACCCGCACGTCACGAACACCAGCAGATACGTCGCTATTATCTCGGCCACCACCTGCAGTACATACGCGTCCTTCGCAAGTTTAATCATGCGCGAAGTGTTATCCCTAACTACACAAGCAAACGCATGTAGCTTTTGGGGCAACGAGTGGCCACAAATTCAGACGAAACGGGAAAACCACAGCAAAGAAGCAGCGGAGGAGGAGGTGGAGGAGGAAGAAGATGGAAACTTCACCTTTCTGCGGAAACCAGGAGGGTAGTGTTTCCCATACAATCTCTTTAAGGGAAGAACACTTCGTTCAAGTGCCGACCTCAGGTTTCGAACCGCGAGCAGCTCGTTGTTGGAGACGTTGAGCTCAGGATCTTGCGTCGCCATTCTTTTGTCCGAGGAATGACCAGACAAGTTTAAGAAGAGGCTTTTGGGCGAAAAGGAGGAGAGTTCTTGGCTATTTATGATGACTTATGTGCCCCTCCTTTCTTGTACCCTCTTCCTCTTTTATCTCCGAATCTTTTGAGATACTTCTTTGATAGAGTTGTGTGGACGTGCCACTACTCGTTTAACTTATAAAGCAACTTTTACTTGTGTAAAAGTAACAAATATTGCTAAACCAATCAAAGACTCGAATCGCTCAAACATTCTTAATCATTGTTTCCCATCCCCTAATTGCACTCAAGAACTCATGCAGTGTTTAACTCCACAATTCCTCACGAAATAATCTCTTAGTCTCACAAAAGAATTACACACATATCTTACCACAAGATTTAAACACCTTCAATACTAAGATTATTGGTGTAATTCTACGAAGAAATCCTCTGCCAAGCACTCGTCAAAACGGCGCTTCCTTTGGAGCACTCACGGCACACCCCGGCGGCTTCGCCAAATGAAATCTAAGAATATATAAAGATATAAATCACAAATAACCCAAACCGAGTTCTGCAGGAACGTATCTTTTATTTCTTCAAATTCTTTCTCTGACATGTTGATCGAGTCAAAGTCCAAAATCAAAGTTCATGTTGGACTTTCCTGTTAGAGAACATAGACTTCAATTTATGTGCGGAAATTGTTGTGTGCTTCAACGAACTTGTATTCAAACACAAGGTTCAAGATTAATTATCCATTATTGAAAGTCACTTCAACGCAGAAACAATTTCTGTATTTTTCCGCAATCTTTACTCGGATCGGATTATATACTATGGGCTTAAACTCGAGACATATTTTAACATGACTTCCCATTTTGGTAAGAATGAGATTACTTTCCTTAAACCACCCAACAAATAAAAACTAACCATAATTTTCATGAAGTTTTAGTGAAACAAACGCATCTGCAAAGTAGTCCATGTCTCGTATAAATAGTTAGTACAGTCGACCCGACCTGGTAACTGTCTCTACAATAGACAAAACAAAGACTTTGTCAAGTCCTTTGCATATACGATGAGTTTTTAAATACTGGAGTTTGGTTTATGTTTGTTATGGTCCGAGTGCGTGTTAGGGAAAAAGTTACTAAGTTCTAGAAAAAGAACATGGAAGCACATTCATCATTTTCAGGTTTGGCAGGTACACCTTCGCCTTTGCAATTTCGAAGACCATACCATCCTTTGATATTTTAAGACGCGAAAGGCTTGTGCAGACTTCACTATCATACCAACATTCTTTTCTTCTCTTTTCGTTTTGGGACACTATTATATAGATATCTTTGGACATGCAGAACAGAACCCCAAACTCTTCCAAGTATGAACTGTTGTTCTCTACAGTCTATCAGCTTTTGCTGTATGGCTTCAATAGGCACATGTTGTGCAGGTTGTAGTGAAATACGGTCATGAAAAATGGAATTTTTATGAAAAATATCGGGGACCTGATCGTGGTGAGGACAGGAGAAGGTCCCCCATCCACCAAACGCTTCAGAGGGCGCGAAAGTTTTGCTATGGACAATATGTTGATCGGTCCAAGGATTGTGGGGTCGAGGAGGGACGAGAGAATAAAAAGGTTGGGGCTTAGAGAGACCCTTTTGGAGGGTTGCGGTTCACGAACTTGCGATGGGGAATATTGTCATTGGGCTATTAGGACTTTCTTTTCCTTTCTTTTTTTTCTTTTTTTCTATGGAGGCTCTAGGAATTACCTCGTCATCTCAGCTAAGGTATTCTGTTTTTTTATTACTAATGCAAGGGCACGGGTGTGGAGGCACTTAGAACACCATATAAACTCACGAACCGGTCAGGCCCAGGCCTAGCTCAGAACAGTCTACACGCAATTCGTGGGATTCGATAGCTGTCTCTAATTCTTGAACCGGAAATTCCCAATGTCTGAATCAACCATGTCAATCATAGGAAATTCATATGGAGGTATTCAAAGAAATTGCTTTCAATTTTTTCTTTTGAACTATGAGATTTTCTATCGCAACCATAAAGTAGATAAGGTTTTCAGCCTTTATTTGGGAGAATGTCGCAACCCTCCCGAGGCGAACCTCGAGGAGTTATGATGGATTGCCAAGTGGGCGCGAGCGCGAAGCATCGCTTGCACTTGGCACGGGTTCTCCCAAACCTTTCGATCGCAACTTGGTTTCTTTGATTGATTATGGAAATTGTTTTTACTTTAGGCATATTCACATACCTTTTAGAGGCCGATTAAGAGCCAAGTAAAGCATAGGAGGTTGCTTTACTTGGGCGCGAGCGCGAAGCATCGCTTGCACTTGGCAAGGGTTCTCCCAAACCTTTCGATCGCAACTTGGTTTCTTTGATTGATTATGGAAATTGTTTTTACTTTAGGCATATTCACATACCTTTTAGAGGCCAATTAAGAGCCAAGTAAAGCATAGGAGGTTGCTTTACTTGCACAAACCACATATTTGGGTCCGGGGACTTGATTATACTAATTGTCTAATTATCGTAAACAAAAATGTCCTTTCAGTAGCTAAACTCATTTTTGTTCTTGAAACGTGAATCAAGCGGTCTTTCCAGTTTTAATTCCCTAAATGTGAATCTAAGTGACCAGGCGTATATAGTTACACAACCAACATGAATCACAACAAATCGAGATAAATCACGATAATAAAGACAATGAAAGTAAACTGCGAGATAGTAAACCTAATGCGAGTCGGACAAAAAATATATATGGCCTTGTTATAAAGCCTCAGGACAGGATCCCCAAGGAGCTACGAAGGAATATTAAACGTGTAATTAATCTAAAGCTAAGCAATGGAAATTCCCAATGTAAATGATGGATGCAGACATTAGGTCATGATGAGACAGGATTAACCAAAAATAGTTCTAAACATGAAATCTACTCCTAAATGAGATATCGGTTTTTTGTCATAGGGGAGAAACTGATAAAAAAAACTCCAAACTTTGCTACTGTGACATATTTACCCTAAATTATTTTTTGTGACACCAAAAACCCCAAACTTGTACCTATAAGACACACTTACCTCAAACTTTTTTCTGTGACACCTAAAATCTCAAACTTATACTCGTGTGACATATTTATCCCAAACTTTTTTCTACGACACCAGATTTTTGGGGTAAATGTGTTACATGAATATAAATTTGGGGTTTTTGGTGTCACCAAAAAAAGTTTAGCATAAATGTGTCAAGATGTACAAGTTTGGGGTAAATATGTCACATAGGTATAAGTTGTGGGTTTTGATGTCATAAAAAAAAGTTCAGTGTAAATATATCACGGTGGGCATAATTTAGGGTTTTTGGTGGTTTTTACCCTTTGTCCTTTTATTTATTTATTATTTATTTATTTTATTTTATTAAATAACAAGAGTGATTTAAATGCAACTTAAAGTTACTATAAGAGAAATGCAACCCTTGAACCAAAACAATGAATAAACGCGAAACTAAATGCAATTGATTTTGGAAAAAGTTCCTAAGATTTAATTATCACCTAAATGCAATCCCCATTTACTTATCCTTTTGTACTATCCCTTTTTTATCCTTTTTCCACTTTTATAAAGCAGCAAGGCCAAGTAAACATGGAAACCCCCAATTTAAGTGATCGACGCATACATTAGGTCATGATTAGATGGGATTAATCAAAGAGTTTTGCTAATATAACAGCCTTTAGGCCATTGTGAGATTAACAACATGTTGTGAGCTACAAATTCTTAAAAGAGTAGACCTCACAATAATTTATAATTATTTTTATTTATTTTTTTGTGGTCCATAACATGTTAATCTTACAGTAAGGGTTGTTGCTTAATCATTTCTCTAACCAAAAATAGCTCTAAACATGCAATCTACTCCTTAAAGAGGTACAGGTTTTATGTCCTTTTTATATATTTATTATCTATTTATTTTATATTTTAATAACAAGAGTGATTTAAATACAACTTAAAGTTACTATAAGAGAAATGCAACCCCCGAACTAAAACAATGAATAAACATGAAACTACATACAATTTATTTCGGAAAAGCTTCTTAAGATGCAATTATCACCTAAATGCCACCCTCATTTACTTATCCTTTTCTACTATCCTTTTTGTATCCTTTTTCCACTTTTATATTGTAAAAAAGCCATCTAAACATGAAAATAACGACTACATACTAGCTCGTATAGAAAGAAAACTAATTCTTAATTTTTTTAAAACAATATCCCACAACTTACTTCAATATAAAACGAATAATACTATAAAATTACGAGACCATTGTTTCACCAAAAAGTGTCAATGAAATACCTTTCAATATTATCCAAAAAGATGTTTCACCAGAATTAAATTGACAATGAAATACCTTTTCTATATATATGGATTGATGTGTGAATCAACAAATGATATGAAGGGTCCTTTGTTGATTTTAAACAGGAAAGTAAATGACAAGTAATTTAAAGCTACTGAGAATGGAAGCAATCGTGGCTAGCCATCTAAAGCGTAGGAAAGATAAATCATGGGAAAGTAAAGACAAAAATAAAGAATGTTGAGTTCTGTGATTGATTAAGAAGGGCCTTACAAAAAGAGCACTTTGAGTATTTATAACCCTCTTCAGACAGTTACAAATGGTTGTTACTAAATTTGAAACAATAATAACTCCATAATATCTTCAGTGGTTACTGGAAGTTACTTCATGAAAACTTATCCAAAAGAAGTTACCCAAATCCTAAATTAACTGGTATCGACATAACCATCCAACGGTTATCTTTGAGTCGATTGATCGTCGTTGACATCGATAACTTTGTCAAGAAACTTTAAAGCTCTCGTCAATGACTTCACATTGTTTTGTCGATAACTTCACAAGAGAGTTATCTTTTACCTTCAAGCTATCGATAATTTTATTCATAAATGATCAAACTCACTCTCCGTTTGGAAACCATCCCTATGGAATTTTGAAGATTCCAAAACTATCTTTATACTTATATCTACTATGATAAGTGCAGACGGTGAATTAGTTTTGTAGATGACAATGTTCCTTCCTTTTATATCAGCAAAGATGAGAAACTAATCTGTGATGATTAGGAGAACAAGTGTCAATATGAGTAGAATTATCTCATGGTAACTTAGAAGTACTAGAGTCAAGAGAG